ATATATTTCAATTTATGCCAACATACTAAGGATTTTTTTAATAGTGAAACGCATATAATTATATAGCCTTTAACCTATATATATATATATATACATATATATACATATATATATATATATATATAAGGTATATAAATTCCATATGCTTAATTAAATAAGTACTTTTACCACAATAATGATACCCGACATCAACATGTATTTTTGAAATCAGTATCAATATTATTATTGTTATTTCTATGATTATTTAGGCCTATCCTCATACGAAGCGCAATGAGCATCTTGTTTGATGGATACGGGCGCTATACAAATTTATTATTATTATTATTATTATTATTACGGGCGCTATACAAATTTATTATTATTATTATTATTATTATTATTATTATTATTATTATTATTATCAGATGTTTATAATGTGTATTGATAATAAAGGTAGATCAGATACACTTAACATTACGACATAAATTCACTATGCTGATTAAAGAAAACACCGACGTACATAGGCCTAAATACAGTACAATATTATATTGTATAATATAAAGATGTATAGCCCCATGCTGAATACCAAAAAAATCATAAATATATATTTTGAAATTAACTTGCCCATTTTAATGTAACATAAAAGTTATCAACTTGAACATGAAATAAGTGTATTTTAAAAATGTCTACCCATCAGTTTACAGCGAAAAATGATAGAAACACTTCCAGGCACTGGAAGTGTTTTATTGTTTTTATTATAATTTTTTGGTTTAAAAATCAGGGTACACATTATTAAAATTCAATAATTTTTAAGCACAAGTTAATAATTTGTATGCTATTTCAGTATCAGTTTATTTCAAAATTATTTTTTATGATTTTTTGACATTAGCAAGGGGTAATACATCTTTAGTAGAGAGAAGACCTATACAAATATAGTCCTATTTGAAATAAGACCACTGTTCCCTTGTAATAACATACACTTAAACGTGTCGGTAATATAATCACATCGGTTACACAACGAATCATGTGATATCTTCCATATTTGGATTTTTGGCCACAAATGTATATTAGACATAAGAAGGCAGGCGTATATATTATACAACTAAACATAAATTAGGCATTTTTGGTCGATTCGACATTATGATTTGTTACAGCACAGGAGCATGTGTTATAAACGATGTTTGCAAAGAAACATATTCATTTCACGCATTCTCGATTTGTATTGAGAAATCATCAAACACAGATTCTGCACTGTCGCGTATTGTAATTATTGTAATTAGGCCTATGGCAGATGATTTTGGCCTAAAGCAGCTTGGTTTCGAAATTTGCCAAACGGCACGTCAATTAATATCCGACGGCCACGCTTCCACTGTACTAATTACAACCGTTGCTAGGCCACCGTTTCTTAGTCAAGAGACCCTCAAACAAAAGATATGATTGAGGGTTTTGGTTTTTGTTGACTATCGACACTTGTTCGCTGGAGAGTTGGCGAAATAGAAATTGTATAATATTTTGCAGGGTGGGGATCGATACATATTGGTTAAGTAAACAATGTAATGATGGAATGCCAGCAGAATAAGAGGTTGATTCATCTGCGATCGAGCATTCAGACTAATAATTACATTAGCGTAGATATTTGCAAAATTAATATATAAATATGTTAATAAACTTTTCCAGTGTCACATACAAAACCATGAATTTATTAGGAAGTATTATTAATATGATTATTATTATTTTCATTCAAATCGTTATTATCACTGTCATCACCTCGTTGTCATTCTTGTTCTTGTTCTTGTAATTATTTTTATTTATATTATTATAATTATTATGGATAGGTACAGGCGTCTAAAGTATACACAGTCGTATAGATTTAATCTTTATTATTAACCTTGTACGCAGAGGCACTGTATTCGCTTCGAAATGGTTTAATACATTTAATAAATCATTGGAGTTGTGGACTTGCTTCGATATTGAGAGTCGGTGAGAAAATAAATGCTTATTAATAACATCGGGCTTGGAAACAATCTTATTGTAAAATTGATTGCGTTCCTTATGGGACTCAGCGGACGAATAATTGAAATGGCATGTAATGGTAGCTTACAGCACTCGCACTCAACCTCTCACTCTTTAGCCTCGTTTTCGAAGTAGCCTATTAACAGAAATCACAACAGACCCGAATATAAAATTGTCATAAGCCTAATAGTAAAACATTTAAAAAAAGAAACCAATAAACACAGATTCGCAGATTGTTGTAGGCCTATAGATAGTTTTCTATATTGGTGTTTGTGAGCATTTATATAGTGTATAATGCACAGTGTCTATGTGCTATATAGCAAATATCTTTGAAGTAGAAAACCTAGAGGAAAAAAAATCAAATGATAACATAAAACAAAGCAGATATTATATTGAAAAGAGATTATGATTACTCACAGACATGAGCTTGTACACAATTCCAGAAAATTCATTAAATACAAGATAACAATTTTTAAGAATACACAGGTATTTAAAAGTTATAATCATTAACATTAATAATTAATGTTATTATTTTAATTTCTATAGAAAGGGTTTCAACATTTCTCGCCGTTCCAGTTCGTGTGAAGATCGACCATATTTTATTAGTTTGCTTTTTAGTGCTTTAAAGCTATTAGATAAAAATAACTAAATAAATTTAAAGCAATTGTTAATTTTCAGCAATGCTCTACTATCGTGGTCTACTATTTTCAGCAATGCTCTACTATCGTGGCTATATGGCAAATGCAGTATCTTATTAATGTGTTGATGCAGTCGGTGTTAAGAGTTTATCCAGAATTATAATCTAAGTGCTGCGACCGATCGTTTGGAAATCAAACATTAAAAAAAAATAGAATTTTAAACCGATTTAAACTCAACTCGGGTGAGTATGCCTAATGAAAATGACATTATACATTGTTAGTGTGGCACCCCAAAACCGGGGTTGACGCGTAACGGATCCCGTGTATATAGGCCTATATATAGTTTCTTAATCCGCATGTCTAATCCCATTGCCTAAGGGATCATGCGAGCTGCTAAAGGAGGCTTATCATATACAGGAAAATACATAGTTAAAAGCTACCCAGAATACTACAATAATTTTGCAGCATTATTATTATTATTAATTATTATTGTAATAATAA